GGGGCCAGCGCCTCAGCACCCTCACAGGGAAGAGCTTCCCTGAGCTGCTCCAGCCCTCGCAGCAGCTCCAGGGCCTCCTCTGGGCTCGCTCCAGCAGCTCCACATCCCCCTTGTGCTGTTCCCCAGAGCTGGACCAGGGTTGCAGGGGGCAGGATCCCCTCCCTGAGCTGCTGCTCACACTCTGGGGGTGCACCCAGCACACGGGGGGGTTCTGGGCTCAAGCACACACTGAAGCCAGGTCATGGGGAGCTTCTCCTCACCCAACACCCCCAAGTCCTTCTCCTCAGGGCTGCTGTCAATGAATTGGGTAACTTAATGGGCCATTTCCCTCTGCAGCCCTTTGCCCCCCATTTCTGACCCTTTAGAGCCAGCCCTGTTGGTTGTTCCCTGCCCTTTGTGCTGCATCCCAGCTTCTCCCCTCGCCTTCCCCTTCCAGCTCCCCAGGGATGCTGCAGGCACCTCCTTCGGTTACACCAGATGTGAGCCCAACTGGCAGCTCCAGTGAGAGCCTGCAGCCGCCTCAGTCCACCTGCTTTGGCACAGACATACCAAGAGGCACCAGTGGGCTTAACTCTGTCCAAACCCCGGCTCATGCCAGAGTTGTGCACAAGTTGGCTTCATTTCCCGCAGTTCCTGCTGCTTTTGTCAATCCAGGCTGTGGTGGAAGCGGGAGTGGAGCTGAAAACCTGCACCCAATAGAGGTTTCATGTGAGAGAAACGTTTGCCCTTCCCCTCTTACCTCCTCTTCTGTAAACAAGTACTTTAAAGTCCTTATTGAAAGCCACAGAAATCCTTTGCTCTTGTTTTGAAATCTAACCCCCAGTATACTTTGGAGGATTTAATGTGTCGAGTTCCCAGTGTTAGTTTGCTCTGCTAGCTCAGCCTGAAGAGATGTTAAGGATAATAAACTTAAAATAACCTCTCGTTCCTCAGGAGGCTGCAGGACTTGAAGTGAAATATTCTCAAGCTGAATTGGAGAGTGACCTTCACTCTTGCTGAAGTAAAAACAGTCTTAACTTTTCCATTCCCATTAATCACACAGATTTTCAGGCCCTTCATGGTCAAACCCTAATGGAGGGTCTGGACAGGGGTGTGGGAGGAAAGTGTCAGCCCCAGTTCAGCCTGTTGTCCCCTCCTTTTTCAGCTGATCCAAGGAGCACGGTGGCAGAGCCCCCCCCAGCAGCCCCCTGCAGTTGGGTTCAGCTTATCTGTGCAGTGGATGTTCTTCTTTCCTGTTGTAGCATCTGCACAAACCTCCCCCTGCTCAACCCTGCTCAAAAAACCACATATTTCAAGGTGATAAGATACTCAGAGATGACAACTCAGCAGGACTTGCTTATTTCCTATGGAGCCAGGCTGAGAGAGCTGGGCTGGGGCAGCTGGAGAAGAGAAGGCTCCTGAAGGGGACACCTTAGAGCAGCTCCAGTGCCTAAAGGGGCTCCGGGAAACCTGGAGAGGGGCTTGGGACAAGGGATGGAGGGACAGGACAAGGGGAATGGCTTTAACCTGCCAGAGAGGAGATTGAGATGAGCTCTTGGGCAGAAGCTCTTCCCTGTGAGGGTGCTGAGGCGCTGGCACAGGGTGCCCAGAGAAGCTGTGGCTGCCCCATCCCTGGCAGTGTTCAAGGCCAGGTTGGACACAGGGGCTTGGAGCAACCTGACATAGTGGAAGGTGTCCCTGCCCGTGGCAGGGGTTGGACCTGGATGAGCTTTAAGGTCCCTTCCAAACTATTCTGTGCTTCTGTTTTTCTTCTCTGACACAGTGTCTATAATTCTCTTTCAGTACATAACATCAAGCAACAACAACACACCCATCCAAGGGTTTTATATCTACTATCGCCCTACGGACAGCGACAACGATAGTGACTACAAGAGGGATGTTGTGGAAGGTACTGTGCAATGTACACGTGCTGCAGAACACCACTCCATGGGGAAGAACATCCTGTAGCCATGTTGGCTGTGTTTATATGAAATCTAAACTGCTTTTCCCAAACGAAGTCATTATAGTATATTTCACCCAAGTAGCTATTTCGACTCCCATCACATCAAGTTCTGCCCACACGTGAGCTTGTTTCTTCCTTGTGAAGCCTCTTCTGCATGGAAGCTTGAGCACTAAATAGTGGGGTTTAGTTTTATCTTGTTATGCTGCTGCAAATCCTTACTACAGGTCTATTTAGACTGGTTTAGTGTCAAGTAGTTGAGTAGAGAGAAAGTAGCGTACATGAGATTCAACCCAGGGTAAGACTGCCCTAATAACTACCTGGCTCTTAAAATGATTTACTCCAGCACAGATTTTCTACACTGGGTAGTAGCATTGTGTGTAATTCCCCTCCCCTTACCTTGCTTAATTGCTTACCCTGCTTATCAGGAAGTTAGTTTCACCTGCAGTGCTGAAGTAGCTGCAAGCACAGGTATGTTTGTGCTCCGTTTTGCCTTTTAATCGGGTTATTTTTTCCCCCTTGTGCACATGAGATCATCATTTTCCTAGAAGAACTTATTAGATAATGTCTCTATTAGCCCACAAATGGAAAACCCTTTAACAAATATTTTACTTCACGTCCTTATTGCCTGGGCTGAGTAAACTCAGTGATCTCATTCTGTCCCTGTGACGTTCATTATTTTTCCCCCCTCATTTATTTCAGTTACAAGAGGAATGAGCCTCGATTTTGACCATTTTCCCCTGCTAGACAATACTCCACATAGTCCTTTGATGCATGACATAACTTTTTGCACACTGTAAAGCCATTCAAGAGCCCGAGTTTCAGCTTTAAAGCAGCTCATGCAGCCTGCACCTTCATCTGCAAATGTATTTGAGCCTGGGCTCGACAGAGCTTGTGTGTTTATAAATGTGCTGCACTGAGCAGTGAGTTGTTTAAGTGGGCTCCACTGTGCTGTGAAATTAGCTTGTTTCTGCTGGCTTTTTTTCTTTTTCCAGGAGCATGTGCCTGTATTGAACTCTTTGTGGCAGTCTGAAACCATTAGCAGCTGCCAGAGCCTGCAACAGAAACTCAGCCATGGAAATATTTCAACTCATTTCTTTGCTCCCCTAAATTAACTGTTTAGGAGAGGGGGGGGAAGAGCTATTTTCAATTAAAGTGTGTTTGGAAGCATTTGATGTTGAAATATGTAGAGAAACACATGACTTAAGGTATTTTTGCCATAAATCACTTGTTCTTAATATTTCCCCCACCCCCCCACCCCGTTACCTTTTAATTAATC